ATTTAGGATTGGGCTGGGGGGAATGAGCCCTCACTAGGCCTCTGGTGCAAGCCTGAAGATCTCGAGCGCAGGGAAAGGGAAGTGCCTGGCTACCAAGGCAGCCTGGCCCATGGTGCCCTAAGCCAAGATTCCTCCATGGGCATTGCCCCTGCAGGCTGGAGTGGCATTACTGAGGTCTCCCAAGCTCATAGACCCTCACAACCCCCCTGCTGGAGTGCACTGCCTACCCTGGCTACGCCACTGGCAAGGGCCAGCTGATGAGGCCAGATCAGCAGCTAGGCTGCGGGAAGCCAGCCACATAGGCACAGCCATACTAAACATAACAGGCTGGTAGTGGTCATAGGGGTAACACATTATTGGGAACTTGGAGACAGCTTGCTAACAAGAAGTTTCACCTGGACAGCGTCCCTCCTCCCACTGCTGGCCCTGGGTCTCAGAGAGGCGTTACTTTGCAGGGAGGGGACGGACTGTCAAGACCCCCTGATTTCTAACGAGCAGCAATCCCCAACCAACAAACCTTGGGGGGGGGGGGGGGTTTCTATCCTTTCCCTTCACAGGATACAGGCATCCTCTCAACCCACATCAAATGCGTTGCTTGAGCAGCCTGAGCGAAGATGCAGAAGCTGTCTTACCCGCTTAGCACCAGGGGCATTCTGATGTGGATGGATTAAACATACAACTGCAGTCCCAGGGATCAGGTTGAGACACAGCAGTGCCTGCCTTCCTGGCCCTTGCCCTTTACATAGGGTTTGTTTTTTCTTGCTCTGACCGGCTTTGCCCGGGGCCAGGGCTAAACCTTGCACACAGGATTAAGCTGGACCACCCCCCCACCCCAAACACCTACCCCAGCAAGCCCAGGACAGCGTGGGCCCTGCCTGGGGGTCACCAGGCAGCACGGACAGGGCAGAGCAGTACTCACCGTGTTAGCCAGGTGGACAAGCAGCCGCAGGGGCTGGCCAGAGAGCCTGGGACCCCACTGCAGGGAGGAGAGGAGAAGAGTCACAAGGGCTTGCCGGGGAGACCCCACAGGTGCCCTCTACCCCCTCCCCCAGCCCACCCTCTAGGGCTGCCCTTACTTACTGCGTCCCGCGGGGGCTGGGACCCAGTAGCCCCGGCCCGCTCCCGGCACTGGAAGACGGCGCTGGGGGAGGCGGTGAAGCAGCGCACGAAGCCCACATAGAGGAGCAGGAGCAGCAGCAGCGCCGCCGGCAGCAGCAGCGCGAGCG